GGGCTTGCGCCCTGCCTGCTACTGGCCAGTGACTGGGGCACTCTCCGGCAGCGCCCTGACCACCAACTCCAGCAACCCACACGCCTCGGGCCACCGCCTGCCCACAGCAGGGACAAGCGTTGCGTGGGACCACAGAATGCTTCGGGCCAGAAGGGACCTTCAGAGGCCATCTAGTCCAACCCTTCCGCCACGAGCAGGGACATCTTCAACTGGATCAGGGTGCTAAGAGCCCCATCCAGCCTGGCCTGGGCTGGTTCCAGGGATGGGCCATCTGGGCAACCTGGGCCAGGGTTTCACCACCCTCAGTGTAAAAAACTTCTTCCTTATATCCAGTCTAAATCTTCCCTCTTTAAGGTTAAAACCATCACCCCTTGTCCTGTCACAACAGGCCCGGCTAAAAAGTCTGTCCCCGGCTTTCTTACAACCCCCCTTTAAGTACTGGAAAGCTGCAATGAGGTCTCCTCGGAGCCTTCTCCTCTCCAGGCTGCCAAGCCCCAGCTCTCCCAACCTCTCCTCCCAGCAGAGGGGTTCCAGCCCTCGGATCATTGCTGGGGCCTCCCCTGGCCCCGCTCCAACAGCTCCAGTTCTATCCCGTGCTGAGGGCTCCAGAGCTGGATGCAGGACTCCCGGGGAGGTCTCAGCAAAGCAGGGCAGAGGGGCAGAATCCCCTCCCTCACCCCATGCCCACGCTACTGGGGATGCAGCCCAGGGGACAGCGCGCTGCCGACGGGGTTTTAGGGAGCAGCTTCAGAATGGCGAGACAGCTGCCATCCCCCGGGCGGCCCCCCCCTCGGCCGGGGTACCCCCGCAGAGGCTTCAGCTCTGCACCTCAGGAGGAGCAAAGGAAGCCAAGGACACCAAGCTGCTCCTGGGAGCACTGCCCTCACCCCCCCAGGAAGACAACCACACCATCCACCTTGGTTAAGTTTTTAATTGCACTGTGAGCAAACAGCAAATTAACGTCAAGGCATGACAGAACTGGAACAAAGTGCAGTGGTCTCTCAGCTTTGAGTTGCAACAGAGAGCAGAAGGCAGCGCTATCCACCAGCTTCCCTGCTATCCCTTCTCGATTTTAGTGGTTCACTGAAGCAGAGGCACTGACCAAATACTTGAGGGTAAAAATAAAACTAAGAAAAAAAAAAACAACAGGAGCAGAGATTCCCTTTGCCTGCCATCTCCTCTCCTGGAAAGAGGCGATGACACAGCCAGCACCACCCCGCAGCGGTTCCGTACCCACACCACAACACCACTTCAGCACAGCGGACACGCTCCGAAGCGACATTCACTCACAAAGGCTTCGGCCTCCCTCAGGCAGGTCAGCCCTTCGGGGGACCCCTTGTCAGCAGCTCGTCCAGCCAGCGACCTGCAGGAGTCAGCTGGAGCACGGCACGGGTCCAGAGCACACCGACACAGAAGCAGGCTCGGGCCAAGGACGGCGACAGGGTTGGGGTTACAGTTCCAGCGGTCAGCGCGGGAGTAGCTGGGTTCAACTCGCTAATCAAACAAAACTACGGCGCCGTGCTCTGAGCGGCTGGGGTCCAGCGGCGTGGGGGTGCTGCACAGTGCTTCCTCAGCTGCCCTTGCCCTACTTCCCCGACAGCTGCTCGTACAGCTTCGGCACGTAATCATCCCACTCCGCCTGGTA